AAAGGGCGAGTAGGTTTGGTGGGACGAGGATTCGAGCCCGCGACCCTCAGATAGCGAGTCGAGCGCTTTAACTACCCTTTTCTGATTTGTTATTTTCATCTTCATAAACATTAATGTTTTTGCTATACTATCTGTACTTTTCTGTTACCCTACTCTCTACTTAACCAATAATATGTATCTAGCAGTTCATCTTAGATGCTAAGATATTCTAAAATTACACTTTCTATGATATTTATTGGGCTTTCATTGTTGACTAGATAATTTGTTTTTCAGAGAAGAGGTAATAGCGAATGAAGCAAATAATTAGTTTCCAATTATTTTTTAAATAAGTTATTTTCAACAACAATAGTGAGATATATATATAATATTTATTTCAATGATTAATTTACTTTATTATATATTTTTATTATGGCGATTATTCAGCATTATTAGCTTTGTATAAGGATTAAGGACTAACATAAATCTTCGAAGCTGGTCGAATCTTATGAGATATTATTAGGATTACGACCGAACAATTCGCTAACAGTATGTTTTTGTTTTGTTTTTAATTATGCACAAAGCTACACAAGGGCTATCTGTGTTCTGCCCACCACGGGTATCGAAACCTGGTTTCTAGCGTTGTAAGTCCGCAGACATATCTCTGTGCCACTGGGGGCTCTAACAGTATGAGTAACAAACTAGTGAATTAAAACATTCTAATCGTTACAACCTTTTGTTTTATGACTTTACTTTCTCTTAGTTAAATTGATATACTTGATTAGCTGTATTAATTACCAGGTTACCTGCAATGAAAAATGAATCATATTGTGTTTCACTCATGGGTTTTGGGATGTCATGAAGTAGCAGAGATCTTAAGTTTTTAAATAGGCATCTTCAGAAGTCGAATACAGATTGCTAATGACATTCATACGAATGTGACAACTGAATTCATAGTTCAGCATCATTGTTAGAATTAGCCCAGCTAGTAGTTTTACGAGCTAAAACAGGATGATTGCTCTCACTGTTCACAGAAAGGAATGATATTGTGAAACCAATAAATCATTTTTCTTACAATGATGTTGCATTAGAATTATCATTAAATTATTATCTAAGCAAGCTGTCTCTACAAATCAGAATAAAAATACACTGTGCTAAGATCAGGGTAACTTTGTAGGAAGAGATAGCGGCCAAATTAGTAGCGGTAGGAGGGCTTTATGTTATCCGCTTTCAACACCCAGCCTTCCACAGTGTTTCAAGTGATTAATTATTTGACGGTCATTAGCCGCAGAAGTGTCTTATGGACCGAAGTTTAAAGGTCACAGGTCAAAGTAGGAAGTGAGTATAACTCAAGAAACGGCTCTTTATATTAGCCTTGTGGTGACTGTTGGAGTAAAAACTTCAGCTGAGTTTATGTAGTATTGCAATAGTGGCAGTAATTTGTTTCCTTGGATTCCTCCATAAAGAATGCTAGTGCGCTCTATGAGATATATAACACGTTTGTGTGCCCACTTCCAGACTTTGTGTATGTTGTTTTTTGTTGTATAAGAACGTATGAATGCAGTTAACATTAACTTACATCAAAGATAATAAATCCTTAATAACAGCAATAATGGGGAGGAGAGGTTGTGAACTCCCATTAACATTCCCTTTCTTCCAAACTATCAACCCACAAAGTTTGGTTTTGATTGACCCAATGGCCTGGGAGTAGTTAGACAATGAACAAACAGACAGACACCCAGTTTTTGTACTTTATATATACATTTTTGGTTAAAGACGTGGCGCCATCTATAAATGTAGTTCAATAACAGCAATAATTGAGGTGGATGGGGTTGTAAAACATTCCCCTTGTTCTAGACTATCATCCCACAAAGTTCAGTTGAAATTGGCCCAACGACCTAGGTGTAGTGAAATAGCGGATAAACAGACAGACCCACAGATGTTTGTGTTTATATATATAGATAATATTATATTCTGTTATATCATATATTTTCAAAGTCTAATATTCTCCCTTACAATAGATTATTAAACTTTCATACATTACTTTTTATATTTCAAATGCGGTAGCAATTACCCATTTATTACGCTTAACACTAAATTCAAAAAGAAGCTAAATACGTATTAGCAAGGATAAGCTGGGTAAACGGGTATTTACTAACACAGAATGCCTTTCTTTGCAGTGTCTTAAAAGTTATGTCTTACCTGGGATATATAATATTCTCACCTCAGGTTTTCTTAAAAACTTCCGTATCTTGTTATCTTAAATAGTTCAATTACGGCCATGTTTTGCGTATATATTAAGTCGTCAATAAATGAATGTCACGTTTTGGAACACTTTCATTAACCAACCCCTAAAAATGCACATCACGTATAATAGTTAAACGTTTGTTTGTTTGTTTGAATTTAAGCACAAAGCTACACAATGGGCTATCTATGCTCTGCCCACCACGAGTATCGAAACCCGGTTTGTAGCGTTGTAAGTC